TATCGAGCGATCGTCTAATCGCCTGATCGCACGTATGATCACCACCTCTGAAAGCTCCATTAGCTTCTTCTGGTCTATGCATTGCGTCTTCTCACTAGATTTCTCTCTAGGTAATTTTCCCTTTCCCCGATCTTCGACCTTATCGTGGAATAATCTTTTACGGCTTTAGCTTACCTTTTGTCAAGAACCGAGTCATTTCATTGGTAGTGGAGCTCAGGACTGTTGTAGAAGTTTACCCGTGCGAGAAAAAATGGCAGAGCTTGACCTTTGGCCGTGCCATAGATTTGGAATTATTGGAGGGTTCATCCTCGTGCTCTTCCTACTGAAACCTCGGGGCTCTTGATAATGTTCAGCAAAATTTTTCGAATGAATGGAACTATTTTCGAAAACAGCAGAAGTGACACTTGCATGCGCATGGGAAGTATTTTTAGATAAGCCGGCTTAGCCAAGTTCGGATAAAACAGCGGTACTTTATACACCCGATAGCGCTTCTTGAAGTCCTAGAAGAGGGTTTCCTAAAATAGGCTGAGGATAGCTGTGGCCACAAAGCTTGAAAGCAAAAGTTGAATTCGGTGCAGCACTCTTGATTTGAGCTCCTAGGAAAACGAGTAAGTAACATACATATTAAAAGAAACTCTGTGGATTACCTTCAAGCGAGGAAAAGCAGTAAAAGCATAGAGCATTCAGCGTTGGTTGACTCCTTTCTAGGATATGCCATTCATTCTATTTCAATTTGGAGTTTAAGTGGCATTTTAATGCGATATGTCTTATCCTTATAATGAATTGTGAGAATCACCGATGTATAAAACACTATTTGTGCCCTCCAGATTAGTCCTCTGCCGGTACAACCACCACATGAATACAGGGCTTGTTATTGATAGTTTTGGTGAAAATCCAGTTTGGGGATGCACTCCTTACTATCTTATTCTTAGGCTAGAGAGCAGTTCTTTGGGCTATCGAACACTACGGATAAGATAATAAGTGAACGACTCATTTCGAGCGTACTTTTGATAAGGACCGGTGGATGTCCTACATTCCACACTACCTGCCCACATCCCATCCACTTTTCTGCACAGGTGATCCACCCTGGAGCTCCTGCACCCTTAGCCCCTAGGGAGGTGTCCTTTCTCCTGGTCCAGGACCGTTTCCTTGGACCACTGCAGGCCAAATAGTGGAAGCAGCTCAGGATTACTTCCACACTGCACCGGTCCTAATCAGCAGTGTACTTTAAATCGGGCGAGTAGGTAAGTAGTCGATTAGGCGAGTAGGCGAGTAGGCGATGAGAGAAGGATAAGTATTTGTTCGTTTTGACACGATTACGTGTCGTGAGCGCTCTAATTCTTATCTTAAGTATTGAAAAACTCCTAAAGCAATGCTTGAGTTAAAATAGGGGCTTAGTTACTGAAAGATCGAAAAAAAACGATAGGCTCATAAGATTAAAACGTCAAGGAAGTTCACTGATGAAACCCCTTTTTTCCAATCGACCCAGTGGTGGGGCCTGGTGAACTTGTAGAGGGGACAATAATACATAGCCCCGATGTTGCATTGTGACTTCTGTCAAAGTTCCTGTATCTCATTCACGACTGGTGTGAGCGTAAAATCCTTGGACGGCCGCGAGATTATACAGTTTTACGTTATTTCATCATATGAAATGGACGAAAATAAAACTACTGGAAATATTAGCTGCTTTTTCGCCAAAAACTGTCTGATGTGACAGGTGAAAAAAAAACAAAAGCTGGAAAATAATACGTCATTTGCGCATACATATCGCAATAAAAACAGGACTTCGAAAATGTACCAGAGAAGCGAAACAATGGTTTAACACATTGACGACATTGAGACGCGGTAACGCGTCTCACTTTGCGCACCTCGTTGGACATTGAGACGCGTTACCGCGTCTCACCCTTATCATCCCTTTTTCTAGGGCATGCGCAGCTTTTTCCCGAATTGTTTGTCTCTCTTCTATGGATTAGAACATAACATTATTGTGAACGACATAGGTCATTGTTTGTTCAAATATGCTCCAGTTTAGAAGAAGTTTTCCAAGCTCACCGAAACCGGCGGCTTGGTTCATTAATAGTTTTCATGCTATTCTCATGAACACGTCAATAAAAAAGGGTAGTGAAAGTAAATGCAAATCTAAAGAGACAGAAAAATACATGTTTCACTTGGTATAACCACATCAAAAGAGCTTTTGGCATCCACTACAGATAAAATGACTAAAATTTCCTTTTTCATTACCATTACATGTTCTTTAATCGGAACTTCGTCACTATATACTCTATTACCTTCTACGCATTGACTGTTACTGAGATGTTTTTGTACCACTGGTGCTTTAAAAAGTTATCAATAAAAATTCACGGATCCGAGGTGCGGCGGTCGCACTCGCAAAATCATAAATTAATAACTTATAAAAGTATATTAAGTTCAGTCCGGTCCGACATGGCAAAAAACCCAAAACGCGCGCGTCGTTCAATGTGTAACACGCGACAGCGGTGACATACCACATGGAGCGGACTAATTTTCCTCAGTTTATTTGGCACCTTTATTCTGTTCCTCAATGGTCCATGTACATTATTGAATCCGAAAAATAATTTTCCCACTACGGATAATGAGAACGCTAAAGGATTGATGACAGAATAGGAAAAAAGTTGTCAGTACGGGCACAACGGCGGTGGTCAATAGCTTAAATTGGCAATCCTCTGACATATTACTCCGTGAAATCAAACTGAAGTTGATGAGTCCGATCCGGTCAAGTAGAAGAAAGGGCGATTTGGGAGTGCGGGTGGATGCACCGATTGGCTACAGGAAAACTGATGAGGAAAAATTGACTACCCTCAAGAAAGCGCAAGATACATAAGTAGTGAGGATCGGGGACCTCATTTTCTACTGCACATTTTGTGATCAGAAGCTCAGAGCAGTTGAATCAATCTTCAAAATCTATTTGTTACAAGAAAAATCCAATCTACAGACGGTGATGCTGTGGGAAATGGTAAGGTAATGTCTTTAACCTAGATTTGAATGTATGCAATGCTCCCCCCCCTCAAAAAACGCATGTTTTTGACCCTTCTGCGTTTCTTTTTCAATTTTATTTTGGCCTCTGTTTTAATTATAAAGTGCAACCGTATCTGAGTGCAGTAAAAATGGTATGTGACGCCAGCAAACGTCATTTTTGATAAACTGAGTGGGCCAGATGGATCCTCGCCTAATTTTTTCCTCCTATTCGTTGGAGATAAGAAATGGACAATGCTTAGTTGGGGTATAATGACTTCTTCATGAAATTCCCAATAAACATTCAAAATCTTCAAAATCCTCTTCTGTAACTATTCTATCGGAACCACTATGTCACAATGTTGCCACCGATGGCTGCTTGGCCGACCATTTGAAACGGAAAAGAAGTGATCCAGTGAGGTTTGCAGGCATCCTCCCGGCCATACTTCAAACATTATGAGGGCTTGTTCAATTTTTTAGAAAGAAAAATAGAAAACTTCAAGTGGTCCAAAGTTCATGGACACATGAATTGAGCACCACAGCATCAGCCTTATGACGGGATTCCTACACTGTCAGGGATGACAATGCCTTGTAGGTTGGACATGTCTACTCGAATTTTCGTAGAGCTGTACGGTATGAAAGCGGTTGCCTGGTGGGCGACATTGGCTTTCAATTCCTACGTAACTGCCTATCACACCCGTGATGCTAATGGATACTCTTGCAGCATCTATTCAAGGCACCTGTCATTCTCAATCAACTAGTATTAGCCAGAAGTGTTTCTTTCTGTGCAAACAGCGCAGAACACCCACCTCCAACGTCAATGGAAAGCAGTAGGAGTTGTGTGGAATTTGAAGAACAACTGGCTTGTATGAGTTCCAGCAAAGCGATATCGCGATGACCAAACTCGTCCAGGTATCGGACAAAGCCAGCGAATAGGTGAGTTCCAACGTTGCCGAACGGGATTTCACATGAAACCTGGAGATGAATACAGCGATGTTGAGCACAGCAGCCAAGAAACACAACGCTCCGATGGCCGGAATACAGATTTCATAGAGAAACGCTTTCACGTCCGTCATCTGAAACAAAAGTTCGTTAGACTATCTGGAAGTGCCAATCCACGATCGCGGTGAATTTGGACAGATCACGCAAAAGGAGTTGGACGGGCAGGAAAACTATAAAACAGAAGTGATGATTTCGAAAGCTCATAAATCTCATAAGTAAAGCAAAAAAACGCGATAAATGGCTGTAAATGCTGTTACTGTAGTAGGTTGCGCCCGCAGAAGAAAATAAAGCCTGGAGCTATGAAGAAAAGAACTTCATTTATTTCGAAAGATATGAGGAAGAGGAAATGTGAATCTGCAAAGAAAAAAGAGACGGCGTGTGAAAATGTAACCTTGTTCGTAAACTCTTTGATTTTTGGGAATCCATCAGCGACAGAATGAATTCCAGGAGCTTCGCCTTTCTGGAGCTATTCAGCCACCTTCTCTCCCTGATCTTATCATTAGCAACCAACCCAGCGCGTCAATCCTACAGTCAAACCCCGGTTTGAATCCCCTGAGACCA